AATACTAGACTTCAAACATTTTTTTTTGGTTGACAGACATGCTCTATGCCTTTGAATGCTGAATATGTCACTTACTGTCAGAGCACTGGTCGGACATGATCAACTTGTTTATGCCGACACCAGGCAATCTGGAGGTTTTTTATCTTCGGTGAACACTCAACCATTCAAGGTCATCCTTCAATCCCACCTGGACACCGAAGATATCTGGCCCATAATCAAGTTGCCGACTGTAAGCCTTCTTAAGATATTCCTACACCCATTGTCAGAAAACTGTTACGAGTGTGGTTCATATTGAAACCTACCTGGTGGAACTGAAAGTTGTCAGCATTGGCAACCAAACCTGAGTCTTATTGTGGGCATTTACGGGAAACACAGAAACTCGTGATGAAAATGCATGAGCTCTCAATTAGCAAAACTGCGCAAGCTGCAGAATGCACAAATAATAAATGTGCAGATATAACACCATATACACTTGCTTCAATGTAGGATATATGACCCACACATAATGTTCATGAAAATGTAGTTTTGAGTGATAATAACTGAAAAAACTGAGTAAAACTGAGTAAAACAATGTAATGTTGTGAATATATGGGCAATAATCAGGGGAGGTTTTTCCTGATGTGGTCTAGGGTTCTCGTCACTGGTACTAGAGTCAGACAAACTTGTTTTGTCATCCAAGCTCTTGAGCTTGATGTTGACTCTGAGGATGACGAAGAGCTTAGGTCATCCCTGACCCTTGTTTTCCTCTCAAGTTGCCCTAACACCTAGCCTATATAGGACTTAGATGCAACCTGGTGCACAGGATCCATAGCCTGTGATGTCAGCTGATGTGTCCAAACTCTGTCCACTAATGCCTTTACTGGGTCTTGTGGTTTCTTGTGGGTGGCCATTGGCCGTTCTCTGCTCTTTCTTTTTTCGGTAGTAAGTAGTTTGATTTTCTTGTCATATTCTTGACGAAGTCGCTTCTCTGCCCTAGTGACCGCAACATCAATCACATTTTGCTGTAGAATAGCTTGTTCAAAAATATCTGGTCCCTGCCTCCTTGTTGGAGGCAGTTTAGGGTACTGGTTAGTTATTTCCTCCTCAGACAATGAACCGTCTGACCAGCCAGCTCTTTGGTGGTTTTGAACAATTCAAGAGCTGCACACTGCTCCTCAATGTAAATATCCTCATCGTTGGATATTGTTGCTCACCAGTTCCTAGGGTCAATGCCCTTTCCTTTGGAGGGCCCTTCACCGTGGTCCGTCTCAGTTGTTGCTGTTTCTTGGTGGTTACTAACACTCATTTCTCACCTTGCGAATTTCTGTCTCTCAGCAATTGTGAGCAATTGCTCTGCTTTACCTACTGTCTGTCTCTGCTCGTTTGAGGGCACTTTGGGTGTCTTAGCCCAGGTTTTTACTTTGCAGAAAACTTTCATCCAAGGATGACCACTGTCATCCTCATCACTGCTGGTATGTTCATTCCTCTCTACTGCAGTTTTATTAACACGCTCGGGTATTCCTTCAACAGGTTCATTGACATCATCATCTACCTCCACATCTATTATGCGATCTGGGGATATGGTACTCTCCTGGGCAACCAAAGGGTTGCTCACAGGGCTACTCGCACGGACCACATCACTACACGAACAAACAGGCCTTAGCATGGATGGACTTTCACTTTCAGTCTTTAAGGACTGCCCACTGAGGTCAAGGGGGACTCAACAGAATCGGGCAGCACAGCCGTTAAGTTGGGGCCCTTCACCAGAGTTCGTACACTAGATAGTAGGTCAACAATTAGATTTCCAAAGTCATCTCTCACCAAGTGATTCTTTTTGCTTGCTGGGGTAGAAACTGAACTGGCTCTAGCACAAGTGCACGAGCAAAGATTATATGTCGTCATGGATGTTGGTTTTGTCATTGTCACAGTTCAAAGACGTGGTGGGCTGGACCAGTCAGTGGTAGTGATGAAGAAGTAAGGAAGGGTTTGTTAAATGTGAAGAATAGAAAGGACTTGGGGAAAGGTGAAAAAATATGTGGCGTTAGTCAGAGTCACAGACCAGATGCAACAACACAAGAAGCCAACAGAGTCTCTTGCAAAAATCACCAGATACCAGTCTGGTTTGATTGGAAAGAACTAAGGGAACTTTACAGACAAGTGGGGATTTATATAGCACGTAGTGTGTAAAGTGCCTGTGATTGAGTAGAATTGAAATAAAGAAAACCATATGTGTCTCTAGTTCAGCCAACATTCCTTCGTTCTGGATCGTAATTGGCTCCTTTGTTTTTTCGATCGTGATTGGTCCCTTTGCTCCTCAATCTATAGGCAACCATCACATCTGTCCTGCTGTGGGTTACTGTGGGAAACTGTTGAAAATATTGATGTCTGTGGAGAAATTTGGAGTTTCCTGATGTTGTCTATGGGGAAATTTGTAGATCCAGAACCTAGTGTGGTTTTGAAGCTGTTCGAAGGCCCGTCATCATCTCTTACCATCCTCATGCCTCTGCCGCCATCCTACATCTCCCGTCTGGCTTCAATCCAGGAAGCTATGTGATTTTGAAGCTGTTTGAAGGCCTTTCGTCTTCTCCTACCACCCTCCTGCCTCCGCCACCATCCTATGTCCCCATCCAGCTTTGATCCAGAACCTAGTGTGGTTTTGAAGCTGTTTGAAGGCCTGTCGTCATCTCCTACCACCCTCCTGCCTCTGCCGCCATCCTGCATCTCCCATCCAGCTTTAATCCAGGAACCTTCATTATTTGATTTTGTAGCCGTTCAAAGGCCTTTTGTCATCTCCTACCACCCTCCTGCATCAGTAAATTTACACATTGCTTGACTTCCCTTTTTGCAACTTGCTGCCGGGTAATTTCCCAAAAAGGAGCGGACAAAGTCACTCAAAAGAACAGTGACACCAACTTGCCGCCAGCTTTCCACAAGACAATTATAAGTTGAATAAGTAGATGCCTCCTCTCGACGGGACCTTTGAGCCCTTATTTTTTCACTTTTGCAGTACATTGCCACAGTTGAACACGGTAAATGGAGATACTTATTCTACTTGTTTGTACTTTTTTTGGACTTATTTCACACCTGTTAAAGAAAGACAACCGCAAAACACTGCATTTTAAGCAAAAGTACTAGATTGATTGGCAACATGAAAGTACTGGTAATAGGAGAGAGATTAAAATGCAATCAGTGCCCTCCATTAAGTCAGTCTGACTCCAAGAATTCCATCCGCATTGTCGAAGCCGTCTGTGTTGCCCCGAATACCTGATTGTCTTCACAAATGCGCGCGCGAGTGCACTCTGCGGGAACACAATGGGAGGGGGGAGCCGTTGGTAGGGGTGGTATCGCTTGAGTTAGAAGAAGCTACAGAGATAGAAGCTCGAATCTGTTGGACTATGTTTCTGCAACGGCTAATGTAAAATTGCAGTGGACTCCAGGCAGAGAAGACACGCTGCCAGAGTTGAATGAAAAAGTGTTGCTATGGCCGCCATGGAAGATAGGCTGAGCAGGTGAGTTATCGGGTGGTTCGTCGGGTGATTCGTCGGGTGATTCGTCGGGTGATTCGTCGGGTGGTTTGTTAAGTAGTTCGTCGGGTGCAAAATTGAGGTCTGCATCGGAGTCATCTTGCTGTTTGGGTGAGAGTTGACGGCAGAGTCTCATGTATGTTCAGTAGGTGAGGGAGAATTTGAGTAGTTTGTCAGTCGAGATCGCTTGTTAGTTGGGCAATCCATCGTTCGATTGTTGCTGCAATGAGCACTTTGCTTGTCGTGCCTTCTCGATGTGCACAGTAGGTACGTCTGTAAGCCTACAGCCACGGCGGGAGTTGGAAGGGGAAGATGTCACCATGGATAAGAAATTTTAGGGTGACATGACTGACAAACGAGGTGAGTTTTGTCACATCTCTTTGTGGGAACATCAATATTTACCAAACCTTTTCCGGTGCAAGCATCAATCGCAGTGCAAGCTTTGATATCCCTTTCTAAGATTCTGGTGAGTCCTTTCATTTTCTAGTTCTAGCTTGTTCTAGCCTTCTTCAGCGCCAGTAACCCCCGTACCACATTCCCGCTCCCCCAAAACCACCTGCAAACATTCATTCAATGGCCATCTCCAGCTAAACGAAATCCAACCCCACTGGCATCTTCACTGGCATCTTTTTCCTCCCTGTTGTTTTGTGTCCCTGATTTACCTCCAGCCCTGCCACCATTGCCTTTGGCACCAACAGCCTTACTGGCAACGATTGCTGCAGGCATCCGGCATAAACTCAAAGTGTTTGAACTTTTTTTGAAAAAGTGTCCAGAGTATCAAGGAAAGGTACATTCCTTTCCTCCCTTCCCCCTTCCACACCCCACATCCATGCCCACAGACCCAACACAACCCACGTCCATCACCTCAACACGCGCCAATCACTAATCATTAAACATGCGCCCATCCTACCCCAGGACCTCCACAACCATGTCGTGACACAAACAGCCCATACCTTTGTAACCTCCTTCACACACTGCCTTTGTGCCAACACACACCACCCAACTGGACCTCAATGCCGTCCCTGCGCTCAACACCACACTTCTCCTCCCATGACTTCCTGACCGCCAGCCATAGTCATGTTGGAGGTGTGGCTTTCACACCATATTTTTACTGGGCGTGGACGAGGACAACTAGGTTTAGTTGCATTGGCACTCGTGAAGTCTCAATTGTTGGTTCGACTTCACTTCAATGCCCGCGGACACATTCAGTCGGCTAAAGTTCTTGTGTTTACGCTTGACAAGTCCCACCTTATGTGCCTCACGCACAAGGAGCGCATGTTCCATATTTTTACCAGTTTTAGCGGGTATCTCTTCCATATTCACACTGCTCATTGTGATTCTCCTGCTGAGCAACATCTAGTGTAGGGGGCAGAAGTATTTTGGGGCGAGTTCTGCCAAAAAAATGGCAGAACAGCAAATGGCAGAATGGCAAAAGTTGGCATAATTGTTTCGAGTGTTTTATTGTGTTCTAAGGTCACGGCAAAAAAATTAGCTAAGCTATTGCGCTACACCCTCTGACGTCAACAGTACATTGATGTTCCAGCCTGGCTCCATGCCTTGTGACCCACGGGCAACCACATCAATCTCTTCGACAACCCCTGTAGGTGTGATTCCTTTATCGACCTTCTCCAGCTCACTCCAATCAATAATATCTCCCTTGAAAATATCTGGGACTTCGCCAGTACCTTCTTGCGAGCCTCGTGACTCCAGCATCTTGTTTTCAAACCTGTCAAATTCTTCGAGCAACTCCTCATATGTAATTGACTCCGGACCTGCAAGAAATTTGTTGTCTGAGTTGTGAGAGGCACCAGCAAGTGGAGGCACCCATGCAAAAGACCTTTGAAGTTCGTCTGCCAAGGCTGTGTCGAGTCCGTGCTCTGGCCGAGTGTGCATATGGGTGTGTTTTCGATGTGTGGGCTTGCCGGCTTCGTGATCCACCTTGTGTAAGAAATTTGCATAGCTTGCCCAGAGTTTGCTAAGAGACCCGAAAGTCTGAACTGATAGGTTGCAGCGCTTCACAGATTGAACCCCACCCAGACCCGAGAAATAATGCTCGACGTTGGCAGCATGAGGTACGATCAAGTGGATTATGACTGCGAATGCCTTCAACGGACAGCGCTCGGCACTGACAGGGAGGGTTTCCCACCAATCGAGTACATCGGTTTGCCCTCCAGAAAATACACCTGAGGATTTGTGATAATCTTTTAAGTCAGCAACGAGCATTTTTGCGAGCTGTTCGCTCCATCGCCACTGTTTAGCAATGTGGAGAGCTACCTCCACCATAAACTTGAATGAACGTCCATTTATAGCTTGCAAAATTGCAAGTTTTCGGCACATCGGGTGTAGGAATAGTGCGAGACTGTGAGTTTTTGTGTTCATCGTGAAAAAAACATCGGTTGAAGACAGCCTTTGTGTGTTGCCAGAAGTCAACATTATCTCCATCTTCGATTGGCAACTGAGAGATTGTCTTTGCGAGCTGAATTAGCCCAAGCATGCATGAAGTGAGTGACAAATCGCGGGACTCCTCATCTCCGATAAGGTCAACAATTGGCTTCATGACCTTGATCCCTTGTTCAATGGTGGGCCAAAACTCTGTGTCATGGAGGACAATGGTGACAATATCTGGGGCAGTAGGTGAGAGGCCTCCGATCTTCTTCTGTGCATCTTCCCACAGACATAAATGGGATAGTGATTGTCTAGAGTTCATTTAATTCTTTGCTTGAACTGATAGTAGTCAAATTTTGTCGTACCTATGATCACGGACACTCATTGACTGGAGAACAATGTCGGAAAAAGATAAACATGCTTTATAATACCGCCGGCATAGAAGGCTGGTCACATGCATTACAAAGGGCCTTGAAAGTGCTATTTAAGGATACCGAAGCAAACATAAGGCCTTGACAAGGCAATTATTAATATTTCAATGCTGCTGGCTTATATAATATCAGAGTGCCTCGAGTTCTTATCGTATGACTCTCCTCTGTGTGTCGTCTCATTGATCTCTTCTCTGTGCATACGTGTACATACTGTCAGATATATGGCGCCAAGCCGCACAAGCCGAAGCAAATACAACTATTCACAGCAAACACTGACAAGTGGGTCGAAATGCCCCCACTGCGGTAATGTTTTCAAATACCAGGGCTATAAGCGGCACGAATCAACATGTAAGATGCGTGATGCGCATGGCCGGGAGAACTTCAATCAAGAGTACGATAGAGAAAGACGGTCAGGTGAGTCATTTTTTTTATCAACAGCTAAATGCTTTTATATTACTGACACATCACAACAAAAACGGCCCACCATTTAGCTCGATGAGGTGCAGCGGCCTTGACGGCAGTAGCAGGCCCATCACGCACAATTGAAGATGATACCCCAGCCCCAGGACAACGTGCGTAATCACCTACTCAAGTTATATTGCGCTTCTCTGATACTTCAACAACATTTCAGCTGTACCTATGACTAGTCCTTCATCGGATGATCGCAACATTATGGATTTTGACCCTGGAAATGAGGGTATCCCCAGCCCAGGTACGTGCTTACTTGTCCTTGTTTATGGACTGATTGACGACCATTTATGCGACAGTTTTATCTGATGCCCAGATGGCCCCTAACGTCCCACCTCAGCCTGTGCCTATTGAAAGGCCTTGTGAGTTCAAAACTGAATTTCACCCTCGCAGTGGCCATGAAACATGCTACCAACCATACGAGGAGTTCGGTGTCACTCCCAAGCAGCAAGCTATTCCTGCGGAGGAAGAACCGTGGCGCCCATTCCGGTCACGCAGCGATTTCGAGTTCTCTGAGATTGCACTCGACGCTGCTCTCAACGAGAACCAGGTTGACAGGCTGCTTAGCCTCATGGCCCGTATATCACAGGGTCAAGCTCAAATTATGCTCGCAAACAAGGCAGATCTGCGCAAGGCATTAGATAATGCTGCGGCTGAACTGACACCGGTATGTGCCTTTTCTGTTTTTGTTTCACAAGATTTTGTTTCTGACTGTTCAGACTCTTGCATATTAGTTCGGGAAACATGAAATAAAGGTTCCCTACAATAAGGAGGAGCGGGTCTTCGAGGTGCATGCACGTCCCATATGGGACTGGGCCCTCAATCTGTTGGATAACCCATCGCTGGCACCGCATTTTGTTTGGGACGCACAACGCCTTTACAAACATAATGGTACAGATTTTGAACACTTTTTCAATGAACCTTGGACAGGTGACCAGTGGTGGGAAATTCAAGTATGTCATTAAGTTTGATACTCGTGTACATGTACAATAACCATTATGTTTATGTTATCAGTCTCGTCTCCCGCCAGATCTGAATGCTGCCCCCTTTTGCTTTATACTGTATGCCGACAAAACCAGACTCTCTTCGCACGGAACAGTTAAAGGGTACCCGGTAATGGTGCGCTGCGCAAATCTACCTATCGACATTCGAAACGGCGAGGGAATCGGCGGTGGTCGGGTGGTTACCGATTGTGAGTCCCATCAACTTCATACATACTCTGAATCGATTTCTGATGTTGCTATTATTACTGCAGGTTCCCGAAGACGCGTCCGAAACGGGGAAACTCGGATATACTACTCTGAAGCGTGTCGTATGGCACGATTCGTTCCTAAAGCTTCTCGTTAACCTTGACCGGTACTCAAAGACAGGGTACTCATATTTGTGCTATGACAAGATCACGCGCTGGTTATTTCCCGCCATACTGATACTTTCCGGGGATTACGAGGAACAGTAAGTGCACTGTACATTGTCATAATAATACATAGAATCTTATGTTTGTTTTTAATCATCATGATTAGATGCATGATGTCGCTTATACGTGGTTTGCAATGCAAGTGTCCATGCCCTGTTTGTCTGGTCCCTCTCGACGAGCTTCACAACTTGTCCAAGGAATTCCCAATCAGGTCTGCGAAAGACGCGCAGGCTGCGCTCGATGTTTACGGACACAACAGAACTCAAGGCGAGGAAATTCTGAAAGGGCTAGGATTGCGTCCTGTGGCAGTAAGTAAACCTTCCTCTTAATCATCTCAACTAATATATATTCAGAATGTCCTCTGGCACATCGAGAATTCCGACCCTCATGAGGCATTGAGCCTTGACGACTTGCATGCTATACATGGCGGTATAGGGGGGGTACATTTACTTGGAGAATTGAAGACGATCCTTGCTGACCTTGGACGTGCAGCCCAGGACAATGTCGAGAAACAGTACGTCTTTTTTTTAGAAATATAATTGACATTACTAAAGCCCTTGCACCCAGGGTTGCTGAGTTCCCTCGATGGCGCTCTCTCGCCCATTTCACCACCATCATCCATATCACCTTCAGCGATGGCAACAAGAAGCGGGACTTGGTCAAGATATGTTGTATACACCCATCGGCATTAAACGTTCTTGGCTGATTATCACAAAGCAAGGATTTTATGCGGCGCTCAGCGTTTTAAAGCGCCAAGTCAGTCCAGAAGGCTACCGCCTTCTTCGGATCATTTGCAGTTACCTGCAGTTAGATAGCTTGGTCGGGCTTGATGTGCACACAGAGCGGACACTTCAAATGATAGACGCCAAATTCCTCGTCTATGATGCTGCACTCAAGGTAATCTTTTTCTTTCTTTTCATTGAATTATCATTGGTACTGACGCAATCTTAGGACTATATTGAATATGCCGCTACGACATCCTCCATTGCAGACATCAAGACCGACTGGAACTTTCCAAAGTCACATCTTTGGAAACACATGCGACGGGACATTGAATTGAAAGGCGTGGCGCGTAACTACAGCACTCGCCCAAATGAAAAGCTCCATGGCCCCCTCAAAACGGCCTATCTTTCTCGGTCAAATGGAAAAGATGTTGCTAAACAGGTATGTATATTCATCTGTTTGTGTTCTTTTGTTGCTAACATGTTGTATATACTTGTAGATCCTTCGTGTTGACCATCACAAATATGCAGCCCTGCTTTTGCGAGGACGTGTGGATACCCTCGACGAACAGCGCCGCCTGCAGGCCTTAGGCGATGAACTTGATGACGAGGACCATGACCACATCAATCTTGATGGGCATTTCAAGCTCGGTTCCCCTCAACCCAATGCCATCCAGGAATTCGAAAACAGGCTTGGCGCTCGAGATCCAGCGTTTCAAAGCTTCCGCAGGAAATTTTCTGATTTCATCAACACGTTGTTACCTACTTATGGATACCATTTGACAAGATGGACCACCATTCCAGCTGATTTCCAGGTATGTTGTTGATCAATTATCCTTTGTCATTTCACACTAACTTGTATGATACTCAGGTCCATGAATACCGCTACCTCAAGATCAACTATGAGAGTACCGTCAACTGGAGGCAGTCAACAGACCACCTCCGGTGCAATCCTTCTTTCCATGGGTCTCCGCACTATGATTGCGCATTCATACAACTTACTGCAGAATCGACCGCCTTTGTCAAGATTATACTAATGTTTAAATGTGAAGTTCCAGATGTCGGCGCCTTCCAATTTGCATTTGTTCAGCCATACACCGCCGGCATTCCTGGTGGCTCTCGCAGGATTGACAGAGATTTAAGGCTCACTCGGGTCAAAGCGGCTCCCAGAAAAGATTCGATTTTTGTACCCCTCAAGTCCTTCATTCGAGGAGCCGTTTTGGTCTGCGATCCAGAGCACCAAGACGAGTTTTTGGTTGTTGAGCATATTGACAGCAATATGTTCCTGCGCATGAAGGCGCGGACACATTGATGAGCCTTTCTTGTGAGTTATACTCGATGTTTGTGTCCATTCAAGTTCTGACAATGTTCTCTTCAATAGGTGTATTCTCTCGATGCTACCGTCCCCTTAACTGCCGATAATCTATTTCCTTGTGCCCCTACTTTCCCTGTACTCCCTTGTTCTCACGCTTCTCTTCACCCTCCATCCTCGATCACACCGCCACACTTATTCCCTCCTTCAAAACCTACAAATCTCCTTTGTCCTCATGCCCATCTATATATTTGGTTTTGCTCCGCCACTTGCTGCCTACGTAGTGTTGTGGGCAGAACTGACGAGTTCTGCCAACCGGTTTGGCAGAACTGGTTGTGCCTGGCAGATGGCAGAACTCCGCGAAAAAGTGCTGGCAGAACTTGGCAGAACCCAGGGTTGGCAGAGCACTAGTCCATAATAATATGTACACTATCTGTAACTTTAAAAATGTGAAACAAGTCACAGAGGCTCTTGGCTGATCCTTCGTCCCAGAATATGGTCCATGCTGGTGGCCGCCCAGTGCCATCCCTAATCAACGACAACTTTGAGCGTCTCAACAAAGTTGCAAACAGCTCTGGCCGCTACTTCTGGAAATGCAAGCACTGTGGTCATCTCAACAATTCCCCTGGCACCAAAATCCAAGGTCGTGACAATAGTCTGCCTAACCATATAATCCGCCACTGCAAGGATGCTGCTCCTGAGCTTCGCCGAAAAGCCCAGACATTTATTATGAATAAAACTGTGACAGGTGATGATGGTGATCAAGTTCTCTCACCAGCTGCTTCGTCCAGTTCTGGTGCTGTGATCAAGAAGCGGAAGAAAATTTTTACGTTGGATGGATATGTTGACTACCCGCTTGGTGACGAGCAAGCCAAACTTGCAAATGTAAAACTGCTTCGGTAGGTTCACGATGAATGTGCAACAAAAATTCCACGCCAATATCATGTAACAGGTTCATAATTCACGCCAACATCCCATTTCATGTAGGAGATGACGAATATTTCCACGAGTTTATCGATGTAATTCGGCCATCATACAAAGTTCCATCCTGATATGTATTATCTCATCACCTCCTTGATGGTGAGGCTGTTCGAGTCCAGCAGGAGGAGATAGATCGACTCAAGGAATGTAAATGTCTCACACTGCTTCTTGATGGATGGGAGGATATATTGAAGAGAAGTCTTTATGGCTCAGTTGCTGTAGAAGTGAATAATCCTCCAGTTGTTCTTGCATTACAGGACATGACTGGACAGCGAGCCACATCAGATAATCTTATCACCGTCTCACAGAAGGCAATGGACCAAATGGAAGTTGGAGATGGCAAAAATTTCATTGCAGTCACGACAGATAACCCAACTGTCATGCAGGCTTACCGCCGCAAGTTCCAGGAACAATATCCCTGGATCCTTGTAAGTCGAAAGTCAATCCATGTGTCATGACAATTGCACTAACTTGCAATTGGTAGGGATTTGTATGCTTTATTCACAGTCTCAATACATTAATCGGAAACATCATGTCATATCCCGCGATGAAGAAAGTTGTTACAAAAGCAACTCGAGTAGTTACCTTCTTCAACTCATCCCACTACTGGGGTGGGCAGCTCAATGACGAAGTGAAGAAACAGAACATCACACGGAAAATGAAGCAGAACTGCGAGTCCTGGTTCTATGCATTGATTTTGCAATGTCTAAGCATGTTAGATTATCGGTGAGATTCAGCTAGCATTATCGAAGACAGAGTATTGGTACCAATATTTGACCTTACAGTTCTCCGCTGACCCTCGTGTGCATGCGCCAAGATGCGAGGAAGAAGACAAATAATCTAACTCCTGTTGCGCACGATGTTATCAAAATCATTCTCGGTGACCCTCCATTCTGGAGGCATCTGGAGCAGATTGTCAACACCGTCAAATTCATTGTCGATGCAATCGGGAACCTTGAGTCGCACCAAGCTTCGCTCGCAGACTGTATGCTTGAACTCCTTCGGTGTGCCAAGCAAATGTCGCAGCTGACTTTTGACGACGACTACAATATTGACTTCTGGAGACATGCCAAGTCAGTCTTTAATCGACGATTTCGCGCTATGAACACCGAGATCCACTCACTCGCTCTATATCTCCACCCAATGTGCCGAAAACTCACCGTCACGCAAGTACCAAATGGGAGGTCATTTCAATTCATGGTTGAAATCGCACTCGGCATTGCGAAGTGCTGGAAATGGGACAAATTGAAGGCGAAGAAACTGGTGGATGACCTACAAATATACAATGAGTCAGCGGCACCATTCGCGGGGGGGCAAGCGGACAGCCTTTCATGGTGGAAGAACCTTCCGGTCAATGCAGAGACTCACCCACTCAAGGCATTTGCCATGACAATTTTATCAATTGTCGGGCATGCAGGCGAAGTCGAACGGACATTCTCCGATCTCGGCACCACACAATCTGCAAGGCGCTGTAATCTTTCAGTCGAAACATTTGAAACACTTGGGAAGATTCGCGCAAACCTTCGTTATCAGCAAGCTAAAAGAGCGGAGGACAACGGAAAGCCGGCACGTCGTCGGCATATGCATATGCACACTCGCGAGGAGGTCGGAATCAATGTTGACGTTGCCCAGGATCTGGAGGCCAGTATCGCATGGGTGCCTCCCCTTGCAGCAGAACCCCAAGATGTGGACGACCTCCTTGCAGGTCCGGAGACCATATCAGCTGATGAAATCGCAGAAGCATTCGATGCTCTCGAAGTACAGGAGAATCTAGAAGAATTTGTGAGTATCGACAACGCAGAGGTCCTTGGAGGGAAGGCATTTGATTTTGTCGAATTGGAGAGGGTTGACCGAGGGTTAGTACCACAAGCTGCTGTAGATGAGGTTAATGTCATGGATCACGATGGTGAGGATGATGGATGGGACGAGGTGTCGTTGATGTCTTCAGTAGGACTGTCATTGATGTCGTAGATAAGAAATTTTCACCGCTAGAGTTAAGCCACACGGCAGAACTGGCTGTTTGTTACAGTAACATGAAGCCCCTATCTTTTTCTGACCCTTCACCTTGTCACAACGTCACACCTTCACCTCTTCACGATTCACCATGCTGCTTGACGCACTTCCTGATCCCCGCCGACCCTGACCTTCTGTGACAGAAGCTAGACGCTTCCATTCTTGACCCTTGATCTATGGCCTCATGGCCTAACTTCCTTTTCCCTTGATATTCCCACAGAAACCTATCCCTGACCTCATGGCCTCCTGCCTGAACCTGCCTTCCTGATATATCATTTCTTGACCATTGTACGATTACCAGACCTGCCCTGAACACTGAGATCCTTACCTATATATAGTCGATCCACTTGTACTATTATTCCTTAACTTGATTCTACTGGGTTTTACCTTGACTTGTATATTCTCTTGAGTTAACTCTCTTGAGTCTGATCATGAAACCTCTATACTCTTGGATCGCTATCCTTGAGTCCGATACATCTTCTCTTAGACCGTTTGTCTTTGAGTCGATACCGATCCCTCGTCTAGACTTAACCGTCGAACACGAAACCCTTCTTCGGCCGCTGCCTTAGAAGCTTACCTCCTCTTCCGTTCTGTCATAACCTGACGGCTTAGGCTACCAGGTATATTGACGTTCAAACGATACACAATACGATAGCTTAGGACCGTCGTCCTTCGCTTACCCATCCCAGTCCGACTACGACCGTTGTCGTAACATAAGAATCAAGTTACTCTTATGGACTTCCTCCATCTGCAGGAACATCACCCAGATACACCCTGATCCCCGACATGTCGACCTCCACGATGAACCCCTCGTACAGAACCTCGATGATTCCCCGACGATCCCTAACCTCGTGCCAAACAGCACAATATATGAGGAAAGGATTGTGCTTTAGCTGTGGAAAGCAAGGCCACCGAAGCCGCGACAGGCTTTGCGCAACCAGCAAGAATGCGGGCGCATCACGCACTACCAAGACAGGAGATGCCAAGAAGATTGATACTAGCAGGACAGCTATGGTAACTGAGGGAAAATCCCCAGTGACGACGAAAACCAAGACCGCCGTACTTGCAACCAAGACGGTCGGCAAAGAAAACGAATTCCGGATCCCAATGACGATCTACGGAACCAAAAGTGCGAAAGAGATTAGCACTACCGCCATCATCGACTCAGGAGCAGGCGGCTCCTTCATCGACGCCGACTTCGTCAAGAAGTACGGCATGACGACACAACCCCTCTCCACACCCTTCCACATCACCACAGTCGACGGCAGCAACTCATCGGCAGGAAAAGTACGCCGATATTGCAAGCTCGCCATCAGACTAGATGGACGGACCATGTGGGGCAAGTTCAACGTCACGAAACTTTCCAAAAGAGACGAATTCCTCTTAGGAAAACCCTTCCTCTCCGCAATGACCCCCGACATCGATTGGGCCAACAACACACTCACCATGTTGCCCACTCCTCGATCCCTCTCTGTCGAGAAGGAGATCAACGATGAAAGGAAGAAGAATGGAGTACCCCCGGTCTGTTTTAACAAACAAAAGACCACCTCCTCGACACCACCTGCAAGGACGCAGAAAAAAGCCGCCAAGACTGGCGCAAAACCCCAGAAGAAGAAGGCTACCATTAAACCTTCTCCCTCCACCTCCATGATCGAAGATCATGATGACCACCACTTCGACAGCATCCCTTCACCACCTGAACCTCAGGTAGAGGATGAATCATCCGACTATGATGACGAAGTCATGGATACCGACCGGGCAACAGCAGCAAAGAAGACAGCTCGCCCAGAGACACCGCGGAACCCCTTCAAGCTCGCAGAAGCAAAGGAACCGCTTTCGTTCATCCAGAACATGATCAGCGGATATCTGCCATTTGGATTCACAGAACCGCAAGATTACCAACCATTCAGTTTTCCTGAACCAAAGGTACAGAGAACGTCTGAAAAGACAAATGAGCTGGCTAGCTCAGCCTCTGCTCAACCGCAAAACGATTCTGAGCATGCAAT